ATTGTTTAATTTATATATCTTAAAGATATAATAAATTAATTGTTTAGTTTGGATTGGAAATTTAAATTTTCCTTGGTACATACTACAAAAAATAGTGAGTGGGTTGAAGGGGGCCAAAAACCCCTACCGCCCGGGGCTCGACGAATCCTTAAACTGCCCTCTCAGAATTAATGCACAGAACAGTAATGTAGTCAATATACTATTTAAAATCATACAATTTCTAATATGTGGCGAAAAAAGATAAAAATGTGTATGCCCTGCTGAACACTGCGCCCTGCAGAGAAGATATCTAAAGGCGCGCCTGTTAAAAAAAATGGCCCAAATCAGGTACAATTTTGTTATGGCGCCAGTTCTGGTTAAAATGGTTAAAATCAGGTATAGCATCTAAACCAAAGCCCAGTAGTCCATTATAAAATATTATATGTATAATCAACACAAATTAATTTATTTTTTTAAGTCATTTATAATTTTTTCCAAATTCAATGAAAAATATTTGAAATGTACATCTACGTAGATCTAACTTTTTACTCTTTATTATAAATTTAAAGAAATGACCATATTCTTTCCATATTAAAAGACACTTCTCAGCCGCATGGCATACACAATTTTATCTTCTAGCCTAATTTTATTTTTTAAACAATACATAAAACGTACAATTAAATAATAATATTTATTTAAGGTATAATGTAAGGTTAGATTAGATTTGACAGTAGCCAAATTTTTTTATTGGTCCGAGATTTTTTATTATTCCAAAAAGGATGTTAACACCTTTACTCGCTTGGCCTAAATTATTTTTACAGCCCAGAAGGTTTTTTGATTGAATATATAAATATTTATCTTCAAATCATTCTATAATTTAAACTTTATTATTGTCAATACTCACTACTAAAGTAAATGATTATCGCCTAGGCTTTAAAAATAATGTAGACCAACTGGGTTTTTCCCTTTAATTATTATTATAATTGTTCGTTTAAGGTATCGTTTAACTAAACACTCACTTCTTAGCCTAATGACATAAATAACTAGGTATTTATCTTTAAGGGATCAACCGGTCAAATTAAAGCTTGTTGTGGTCAAAAGTCGATACTGAAGTGATTATGGTATATGCAAATAAAAAACAGCAGTAAACAAATACTTTTTTAGGCTGGTAATTAGTTGGCAGATTTTCACTGTAGTTTATAGAAATCTGATTTTAAACTGGCAGACACTAAATAAATAAAATTCTAAAAAACATTACAACTTGATGATAAAATGTTGTATGGCATTTGCTAAAAGGTCTTGCTTTGTTAAATTAAGACTCACGTCACGCTCTAGGGCAGGGATGGCGAACCTATGGCACGCGTGCCATGAGTGGCACGTTTTAAATTTTTCTTGGCACGTTTTGAGAACAAAATTTGTTCATCTTAAGCTTATTTTTAAGTTTAATAATTTGCGTATTTTATTCCAATTAAAACATAACTTATAACTAAACTCCGTAAAATTTAATGTCTATGTTAGCCTTGTAATCATAAGCGACAAATTTTACAATTTTTAATAAATATCGCTAGAATTTTATCTAGGTGTTAAATATAAACAACGATAAAACTTCTTTGTTTGTAAAGCTTTTAATTTATAATCTTGAATGTTTTATTACAAAGTTTAACTTAAGAATAAGCTAGATTTTGATACTATACAGACTTAAATATCTTGAACAATAATGATTTTTAAAAGAACCATGAATTATACAATAAAATGGGTTATTTTTATAAAAAACAAAAATGCCATTTTAAGAAATTTACAACATAGAACCTTTTTAGTAATTTAATGCTCCAAATAAAATAATTCTATTTACAATTTTTATAAACATCTATTTTTAAGTATGCATCTTTGTTAGATTTTGATCTTTTATTTCTTCTAAATCGTACGTTACGGATATAATCTAATGAAAAAAAAAACGAGACTAAATTTATTTCTTAAAATATAACAATGTATAAAAAAATTTCTAAATAATGATTTACTTTTTTTATAATATTTTTGTATACTTTCATCTTCATAATACTTACAAAAATTTACTTGTGGCACGTTACAATTTCAATTTTTTTTTTATAGTTTTTTGGCACGCACACTAAAAAAGGTCCGCCATCCCTGCTCTAGGGAGTCAGACAAAATTGTGAAGAAGTGTGAGGGGGGAAGGGGATTAACTACGTGATGTAGCAATAAACTAATACAAATATTCATTTAAATTTTTGGATACAATTTAAATTTATGACCCAGGGAGGGAGATCAAAAAAGGTTTAAAATCGAGTGAAGAAATATGTAAATGGCCTCTAATGACAAATAATCATTATTTGGTATCTATCTGTAATCATTAATAACGGAAATTTTTCGTCCATGATAACTGCTTTAAACTGCTAAAATATTTTTAGGAAGTATGTATTTCCTTAAATATTTGCATGATTATCGCAAAGCGGGCCAACCAATGAAGCCTTGCATTCAATTACACCTTTTTCGAGTATAGTTTTTGTTTACATTGTATATCTATATGAAAACAATGACGACCTTAGCTTGTAGACAAGGTTATTTTAAAACTACCAATTAAATTTAAATTTTATCTCCAAATTTCACCCTGAAGTAAAATTTGAGTCGACTTAAGGGTAGGGATGTGGTCTCCCTACCTGCTTCCTCTATAAAAACATTTTTTTCGTTATTGATAATCGTATTCCATAATCATATCTTGAAATAACTAAAACATATTTAACAACTTAAGAATATTATTTAGAAAATATTACTAGCTGGAAAAAAGTAATTAGTCCCATTTAGTCCGGTGTACCAAAAAAAGTTCCACTGGGATTTAAAAAATGCAAATTAATCAGTTCTTTGTGATAACTGTGATAATTTATGGAATTAATGCACATAATAACTGTAAGTAATGGTATGACCTGATTTAATAATAAAAAAGTGTGTTAAGGTTTTGTTTACAAACAGTGATTAACACTATTAATTTAATAGTACTCCATAGTACGTTAGGTTTAACAGTTGCCTATTTTGTTTCTCTTATTTTCAAAAAGGTAAGATTTTTAAATAGATATTCTTGCACATCATATTATAACACCAGTTTGTTATTGATTGATTAATTTTGATTTATTAATTAATAGAAGTTTTCGACCAAAAAAAATTAGTAAAAAATATAAACCTGATCAGCGGGTGAACATTTTTAAATTTACACCTTTTCATTTAAAAAATAACATACCAAATCGCCCAAAGTGATTTTTAATACACTTTTTCTACTCCCATCTTTAAAACGACCATTATCGTACATGTTTCCATGACACTAAGTGACCTTTTAAATACACATTGACAAGTTGTGGCTTTACAGCGTTTTAGTCACGGGCTGAAGTTAGCAACAGGTTTTTAGTCACGGGCTGAAGTAAGTTTTAAGATATGTGACAGTTGTCAAATGTCATACAATCGTTAAAATAAAGTGCCTTTCTTGTAAAACAATACTAAATGTGAAAATTATTTTATAATCTCAAATACAAAAGTATTAAATAGTTTCTCAACGCCAAAAGTTTATATGAACATTGTACTGACCTTTTAATTTCGCCGGCAGTAAACTATAAATTAAATTCGGGCACGGACTCCACTGTATAGTGCTCATAAAACATTTTCTTTACTTTCACTGTAAAAACTGTCCATTTTCAAGAAATACATTTCGATCTATATCCTTTATAATCTGTGTTTATAAAATATAAAAATTTGACATTTGACGGTGACACACAGATTCCCCTATTGTTTCATAGATGGAGCTCTATAAAAATATTTAAGATAATAATAATACTTATTATTATCTTAAAATGATTTAAACCACCGTAAAATGTCAAATTTGTATGTATTTTGTAGTAGAAAAAGTATAGTATGCACCTTGTTTATAAACTTTTCTAGACACTCAATAATTTAAGAACTCGCTCACAAGCTCGCTAGTGCCTGAATTAAATTCGTGTCTAAAATGGCGTTTATCAAACTTGATACATAATATACTGTTATCTTTCAATAATTCTATAATTTAAACTTTATTATTGTCAACACCCACTACTTACAAAAATAATAGCCTAGGCTATAAACATAATTTAGACCAACCGGGTAAAGTTTTTTTCCTAGTCTGTAAAACACCATTTGGACCAATCAAAACAAATGAAAACTTTTAGATTAGTAATGTTTCTACGAATAATATATAGGTATATATAATATTATATAATTCTATAATAATAATAATAATAATAATAGTTTATTCATCCCTAAAGCATTACAAAGACAGCAGTAAATTACTTATTAGACTAGTCAATACAAAACAAAATAATTAGACAAATACTTAATAAAAAATAAAAATATTTATACTATTAAAATAAACCAACAAATAAAAACACTGATTTATTGAAAACCTTGAGTATGGGGGATACATTTTTTTTTACAATTACCTATAAGTTTTATGTATGGTTTAACCAATATAATTGTTAAAAAAAAATAGAGATGAAATGTTGTATGTCATTCGGCTAAGAAGTGTCTTACATCACTTCAAACTTTGTAAAGTCCATGAACTCAGCACATAATAACTAACTTCTCAGCCTAATGATATAAATAACTATTTCTCCGCGCTGTTTAATTATTTAATTTTAAAATCAAACCAAACCACAAACTATTTTTTTTATTGAATCGTATTGCATGATTTTTGTAATGACCCAAAATTAACTAATAGGTTCCTGCATTTACTTAAACTAAAAAAATTAAAAATTAAAAATAATAATAAAACTTCTCAATAAATTTAGTAACTTAAGTAAGATTATTATTAAAAATTATTATTTTAATTAAAAAATTAGTAGTAAATAAATTATTAATATTGACCTGATTTAATTTTTCAAAACCAGTTTTTACCTGTTTATGTTTTAAATAGGAAATATTTTATAATTTATTAAATAAACTTAAAATTCATAAAACACTTATTTATTATTAATATTTACTTGTAGTTGCAGATATTGCTTGTGGAAAACAAAAATCAAGAAGAATAGGAAAAATAGTAGGCGGTCAAGACGCAACTAAAGGTGAATTTCCATGGCTTGTTTCGATCACTAGAAGAGGTGGCCACTTCTGTGGAGGAACTGTCATCAATAACAGATTTATCATGACTGCTGGACACTGCCTTTGCACGTAAGATACCTAATAGTTTTTACGTTTTTTGCATTTTTAAATAATTTTAAATAAATGCAATTTTTGCTTTTTAAAGAATTAAGTTTTAAGCTGTTTTAATTGAAAAATTAAATATTTTATGTATTTATTTGTTCATTAATAGGTATTTTAAAAAATATAAGTTAAAATTTAGTTTTTTATAAAAATACTTTATTTTATGAAGCATATACTTATTAGGAAAAAGTTTATATTAGTTTTGTCTCAGCTTTAACAATATTTATTTTTTTAATGTTTAAAAAAGCTACATAAAAAGAGTGTAAAATACTTCACCACCAATTATATTTATCGTAGACAATATTACATATTAATTTTTTTATTCTGGTTCAAATACCATAAAGATGCACTGCAGTTATTTGTTTTAAAATACCCAGTAAATAATGTTTTTATTTTACCTCACGAATAATACCATATTTCTATGTACCCTTAGATCGATAATTTGGATTTTATTTAATAATTAAAATAACGAAGATGGAATTTGTATGACTAAACAAAAATCCTTCAAGGGATTTACTTAAGCTCGTATAAAAATTCATAAACAATTATTGTTAATAACAAGGTTTATTCTTATCCTATTTTCAAAATTTAAAACTCTATGTGCTTCCAGTCTCCTTTTAATAATATTCATATATTTTAAAAATGTATTTAAGAAAAGCTTTACCTACATATTCTTTACTTTTTTAGAGGATCTGGACCAACTGATTTCCTGAAACCATCTTCCATCAAAATTACCCTATCGCAGCATGATTTAACAAACAAAGAAAGTGACGCTTACCAGATGGGGGTAGAATCCATCAGAGTGCATTCAGAATACAGTTGCAACAAGCCAAAAAATGATATTGCCATTCTGGAATTGCAAAAACCCATAGTTTGGTCCGATTCTGTATTGCCAGCGTGTCTTTCCTCCAGTAGCAAATTAAGAAAGTTAAGTTCGTTCGATAACAATCTGGCAACAGTGGCTGGTTGGGGATGGACCCACGAAGATCATTCAGCAGGTATATCTTAAGAAAAATATCAATTTTGTTATTACATGAGATTGTTTTTTTTAGGAAGTCGAGCTAAAACTTTACAGAAAGCCAAAGTTAACATTATACCAAATGAAAAATGCAGGAATTGGTTTTCCTCTCAAGGAAAGAAAACCAAAATTCAGGATAAACAAATGTGCGCAGGTCATGAACAAGGAGGAGTGGATGCTTGCTGGGTAAGTATATAATCTAATGGTCTATGTATCTCATGTATCATACATTGATCTAAATTTTGAGATTAAAAGTTAATTACTAATAAATATCAAAAAGGCAAATTTTAAAACATCAAATAATATCATTTAGTAAATAAAGTACTTTTTCAGGCTGACAGTGGAGGTCCATTAATGGTCGCAACAGGAGAATCCGAAATGTATATGATGGTGGTTGGTGTTGTTTCTACAGGAATTGGTTGTGGTAGACCATTTCTACCAGGAATTTATACCAGGGTTTCTGAATACATTTCATGGATTGAAGAAGTTATTAAAGCATAAAACAAAGTGATCAAATTGTTGCCAAATTTAACCAAAGAGATGCCAAATATTGTTAGTAAACCGACTGTGATTTGTATTTAATTTTAAATACATTAATGAAACTAAAAGAATTGTGCAATTTTTACAAATAAAATGTTTTTGTAATAATTTAGGTACTATTTATTTACTTTTAACACAAGTATTGGTAAATACATTCTTTAGGTAGTAACCTTTAAATACGTAAAAGGAAAAGATCCTGAAAATATAGCTAAATATACATTTTACATGATTTTTGTTGTGTAATTAATTACAACTATGAATGAATGGATGGTTTGATTTTAAGTTTGTCATTGACGACTACCTTAAATAAATAGTAAAAGTAGTAAACCGTAAAGATAAACGTCGAAATTATAATAAATAACTCATAAAACAATCTGAATGGATCTTAAAGTTACAAATGCATATTAAGTGGACGTAGAAGGAAAGTGGTCTTTACGACAACATCTGCAATAAACTTATAAAATGTGTGTACTTGCAAAATTGATATACACATATACTTAAATGGGACGTGAACAATATTAAAATATTTTCTTTCAATCAAGGATAATAGTTACAAAAATAGACTGGAATATTTTTAAATAGTTTTTTCTACTTCCACCTTTAAAACGCCCATTATCGTATATGTTTTCATGACACAAAGTGATCTATTAAATACACATTGACAAGTTGTGGTTTTATGGCGTTTTAGTCAAGGGCTGAAGTTAGCAACAGGTTTTTATTCACAGGCTGAAGTTAATTTTAAGTTAGTTAGCAGTTGTCAAATGTCATACAATCGTTAAAATAAAGTTCCCTTTTTGTGAAATAATAATGTGAAAATTATTTAATTATCTTAATACATAAATTAAAAGTATTAAATAGTTTATCAACGCCAATACATTTTTGAAAAGTTTATATACAAAATTGTACTGACCTTTTAATTTTGACGGTAGTAAACTAAAAGTATTAAAAATTTGGGGTGAAGACTCCACCTTGAAGTGCCCATAAAACATTCTCTTCACTTCCACTGTGAAAAACTGCTTCTATATCATCATTTAAATGGTTAGTCTATTTCCAATGGATAAATTTCGATTTACACATATAAATTTGACATTTTCACTGGCGCGCCGGTAATACAGATTCCAAAGTTAGAAATTGTTACGCGCGTTACTCTATTTTTTTTATCGATGTCGCTCTATACAAATATTTAATTTAAATCATTTTTAGATTATATTAAGTACTAATAGAAAAATTATAGTATGAAATTCGTTAATAAACTTTTCTAGACACTCATTTAACTCGCTCGAAAATTCGTGACTAAAATGGCGTTTATCAAACTTTATACATAATATACTGTTTAATACAAATTTATAACAATAAAATACTTTTCATTTAAAAGAAAACTGTACCCTATTTTACTATAAAACACAACATACATAAAAATGTTAACCATAATTTTATCTTAAATTCTACATATATATTATATACACAATAAAAGCACGAGTCACACAAAACTCCACCAGAAACAAAATAATATATGGCTTGATAAAATTATGTAAATATAAAAAGAAATAAAGAAAAAGATATTTCCTAAAATAGTCTAGAAGTTGGGATAAAAAAATAAATAAAATGTATAAAACGTAATCGTGTTATTGGGCCCTGGGCCTCTTGGATACTAATAAATAAATAAATAAAGTAAAATTAAAGTTTTATTTTGTATTTGGACCAAAGCTTCGCAAAGCTGAAATAATCGCTAAGTTGTGGAGGAATAAAGCTATGGTACTTAAATTTCCAGACCCATTTTTTTATGGGATTATAGGCTGAGGCTTTAGTGGTCCATGGAGCCTACACAATGAGTTCGAACTCCATGTTTGGTTTGTAACAACACCGAAACAGCAGACGTTAGCGTTAGCTTGGAATTTAGCGGCACTAGTGGTAAAAAAAGAACACGTAATTTGTGCAATTTATTAATCAGGTTCTGTCAATTCCCACTATCAAGTTCGTACTCCTTGTTCCGGTAATATATTCCTATATGTTCCCATTATATATTTCAATATTTTCAATAAATGGTAACGAAGTTTTGGTGATTTAGAAAAATATCAGCATTATCTAGTTAAATATTATAAATATATTTATCTACGCCAGTGTGATAAGAACTTCTTATCCCACTCATTTTGAGTGAGATAAGAAGTTCATTAATGCACTCGTTTTTCTCTGCTTTTAACCAATCAAATAAAAAAGTCAAAATGTCAAAATAACCCTAAATTAAGTCTTAGACAAAAATAATTACCGTTTATTTTTTCATTTAGAGGCGTAGATAAAAATTTGTACAATATACGTGTGATAACGCTTTTGAGATTGCCCAACTCGTGCTACGCACTCGTTGGGCAAATTTCGCATGCGTACGTTAATAAAGCTCTTATCCCACTTATATCGTAAATAACTAAAATATACAAAAGTGAAATTACGCTTGCCCCCCTTGCCCCCCCTTGCAAGCGTAATTTCGAAAGAAATTGTCCAAAATTAGGAGATTATGATGATCATAATCTCCTAAGTTTGCACAATTTCTTCCTACCCCAAACTTAACGTTGTTTTTGTGCTATACTAATTCTGCAATTTCGCACAATTTTGCACAGTGTGCAATGCACACTCCACACCAAAAAATTACTCACTTACCCCTTCCCACTGAAAAAATTTACCTTGTTTTTGTACTATTCTGGCCCTTCAAATTTGCAGACCTCATTATGATTTTTGCACACTCCTTACATGCCCCCACGTCGTGCGAAAAAATTCTTCCCAGATTCACCTTATTACCAAAATAATAAGCAACATTTTTATGCTATGTAGCTTTGATGTACTACTTGAATCTTAATTTATCAAAAAAATCTGCAATTTTTTTAAATATATTCTCATTAACCTCCTCGTGTACTGTATTCTTAAAAATTCCATCCAGCCCTCACCTTGCCACTGCCAGGATACCTTATTATCTTACTTAACTGTAGAAATTTAGACATTATAATTAAAGAAAGGAAAAATACTTCTAGAACCAAAGGCAAGAGCCAAGCTTTAAAAATATTTTTTTTCTTTTATAAACTAAATACTGGTACATTAAAAAAAGAAAAATAAAATGTTAAAACATAGCAAGTACCTACCTACAAATATTGGAAGATCTATAATGACCAAAACTAAAAGCGAGCCCTGTTCTGGAAAGCGAATTAAGAATTGTCAAATTTTCTTTTGTATATAAAACAAAATTTGACAATTCTTCATTCGCTTTTCAGAACAGGGCTCGCTTTAAGTTTTGGTCATTATGAATCTCCCATGTCGCAAACTATAAACCGCAAAATGACCAGCTCCAACTTTAGGTTCAATATATTGGGTAAATTTTGTTAGTGAGGGGCTAGTGAGTATTTGCAAAATTTAAGAAGAAACTTTTGGAACGCCGCGGCGCGCCGCGAGGATTGAAATATGGATGTGCAAAATTTGAAATAAGGTGTGCAAAAATAGGAGTTTGTGATGCAGGAAAGTAAAGTCCGTCAAGGCAAGGGGTAGGGCAAGCTTTAAGTTTCACCCCACATATTTTTTTGCCATTGCAATATTAAGAATTGTGCAAAATTATGATGTATAATATATGGGGTTTGCAAGGTTTGACTGACCCAAACGATTTCTTGTTATTATTTTTAAAATTATGTATTTTCCAAGAAACAAATTAATAAAATTACGTACAAAATCACAAAAACTTGTGGTTTAATTGACTGTTGCAGTCTCCAAAAGTTTAAATGCCAGTAAGGCCTCAGATGTGCCTGTGGAGTTTTGAAATAAATAATTATACTATTTATTTTGTTTTATTTTAGTAATACCGTCGCGTCGACTGTTTATAAAATTCTTTTACATTACTTTTAATTAAAAACTTTATTGCATCATATTTAAACTATTTAATTATAACCGATCTATTTTAAACATAGATTCAAAACTATAACATTCCCAATTACTGCTTGTATTTGTTATGTAATATTAAAGAAATAATCAATTGAAGTCCTGTTAAGGAACATTTTAATTGATTTTATATGGTTCTTCCAAAGAGTTATGTGGTTTTAAGTCCATTAAAACAAGCCAATTATTACACAAAACCAATATAAGAAATAAACACTATTATTTACCATTAATAGTTATACGTTTATTATAAATTATTTTATCGAGTAAAAAAATATACACTTAAAAGAAATAAATAAGTAATTATGACTGTGATTTCTAACATTGAGTAGGTCGTAGAGTACTAAATGTTAAAAAAAAGTATGATTTACATAATTTTAAGACGCTGATTTCAAAAATGCTATTTGTTTTGCTCCAGCAGGTATATTAGGGTGAGCCAAAAAAACTAACCTATCGGATTTATGGGTTAAAATGAACCTACATACCGAGCAAAAAATTTCCCAGCAAGGCAAAATCACTAAAACTGCAGTTTTAGTGATTTTTTACACTTTTCAAAGCTTTCAAACATACGAATTTTTGAATTAAAAAAAATAATCCTGGTATAGATTCTTTGGGAAATTTTATGCTCTACAAGAATACGCGACGTAAAAAATTTTATCTCAAACGGTTCAAAAGTTATAGTCTTTTTAATGAAAAAAGATTTTTTTACGTGTTATTTCAATGGAAAACTTAGAATGCTCACCGACACCTTTTAAAATTGAGCAAAAAATTTTGCCTTGCAGGGAAATTTTTTGCTCGGTGTGTAGGTTCATTTTAACCCATAAATCCGATAGGTTAGTTTTTTTGGCTCACCCTAAGGTATATAGATGCATATTTATAGGATTTGAAATTTTCGTATTAAAAATCTCTGCCCAAACATCTCAAAATTTTGGATTTTTCATTATTAGTTTGATTTTTATTAAATTATTTTGCCTTAAATCTATGTTGAGTATACTATACGTCAAATAGAAAATATTTAGCCCAACGATTTGGCATTTTGAATACTAAAACTA